ACTTTCGACGAAAATATGTTAATCCAAGCTTGTCTAGACCTTCAATTGTATTGAAAAGAATCCCATCAGAGTTAATCCAGTTAGGAAGATTTTTCCAGTTGAAATTTGTGTAAGGATCATTAGAATCAGCTTCTAATAGACTTGGATTCAATTGACTAACATCAAGATTACCACCTTCTTGAAAATCAGGCATAGTAAAAACAAAGTTTTCTGTCTTTTTATGAGGCAAATTTAGCCACATAGAGTAATAACATGCCAAGCCAAAACCACCAGCCCCACTAAAATGACATGAAAAATTCCAAATTCATGAGCTATATTTGCTGACCATCCAAAAAACATGTCTGATATAACACAAAGTGGCTTTTCAATAAGACTAGAAAGAAGATTTCTACATGAAGGTCCAAGTGAAGAGGAAATTGTTGCAAAATGTACAGAGAGTTTATAAGAAAGTGAATCAGTGTTTTCAGTGTTTGGAGGCAGACCATGTTCTGAACTATTGAATGGAATTTCAACAAGGGAAATAGATGAATTTTGAGGTAGAGATGATTTGAGTTTTTTGATATTGAGAGGTGTATTCACAAAAAATCTATTGTAACCTTTTTTTTCTAATTTAAAGGCTAAGGTTAAAAAAGGTATAATGTGGCCTTGTGCCATGAAGGGGAAGAGAAGAATTGTTCCTTTTTTCTTCTCCATTTTTTTGGTTCTTTTTTCTACTAGAGAGAAAAAATAAAGCCAAGAAAGTTAGACATTTATAGAGGGAAAGAGGAAAGTGTAAAAGCAATTACTTTTTTTGTAAAATTATTCTTCTATGATAAATAAGAATAGATCTTCTAAGATTGTCATAATAAACAAATTTTGACCAAATATTTAAAAAATTTAATACACCACATATGACAAAGAGTATAATGTAAATATTTACTTTTATCATTAAAAGATTTTATTCTCTTCAATGGAATATATTACACTATTAGATATGCTTAAAATTACTTTTTATATAATAGATATGGACCGTCCTTCAACTTCCTTATGTTTTTTATTTCTTTACATTTTAAATCATGTTAGTAAAATTTTTGACTCCGCAATTAATGATGACGAAGTCCAATATTTAGTATTATAAAAAGTAACAGAAATCAAAGGAGAAAAACTACAAAAAGTAATAATATTACTACTAATATTCATATTATAAAAAGAAGAAGCTAAGCAATCGATTTAAAAGTTTTTAAAAAATGTTAAAAGTAATTGTTATCGAGAGGCTTAGAGTCCGTTTTGATTGACTTAAGAAATAGTTTTTAAGTCAAAAAAAAGAAGTCAAATTTAAATGATTTTTAAGTCAAAAATAAAAAGTCAAATTCAAATGATTTTTAAGTCAAAAAATAAAAAACAGGGGAGACCTACTTTTGGTTTTTGACTTATTTTAAGTTATTTTTTACCTTGTCAAACACTTACTAACTTATTTTAAATTATTTTTGACTAATTTTAAGTTATTTTTATATTTGTCAAACACTTTCAAAAGTCAAAAACGGACTTAAAATAGGTTTTACTATACTTGTAACTTAAAAGTCAATCCAGAAAACTCTCTTTATCACATTTTTATAATCACAACACAACCTTTAAAAAAAAAACTTCTCTTTTTAATCTTTTGATTTTTCCACGATTGTCAAGACTCCAGAGAATATTTTAAATATTTTTAAGAATTTGAATATTTAAATTTTAAAGACATAAAAATCACTTTACATGATGAATCGAGTTACTTTATTTATTCCTTACAATTAAGTTAATTAGTGGAATTGTATAGTGCACAAATGTAAGAATACAATATTTTTCTAAAATGTGTAAAACATGTAGATCATTGACTTTTTCACTATTCTCAAGAGAATTGCTAGAGCTCAATTTGCTACTCTACTTAACAAACTCTTTATAAAAAGGATAATTAAGATTTAAGCAAAGATGATAACTTTTGCCTGTTGGGGATATTTTAAGAACATTTCCATGTCTTGTATTATTTTCAAATAATGAATTGAATTCCAAGATACAACAATTTAATATAATATATATATATTACGGCAATTGTGGAAATGAGGGCAGGACTTGATTATTATTTTCAGTTTTTTTTATTGTTGGAGACTTGGTTCCAATATGATTATTTTCAAATTTTTTATATTTTAAAAAAAAAATCCAACTACATTTTTTTGTTTGAAACATCTTTAGGAATGTTTTAAATAGAGCAATTTTCACATATAGCAAACAACAAAATCATATTTGTATGCTATAACAAAGTTTGCATAATTGCGCTCCATAGCAAACATATATATGTATAATTCGCTATACATATACAATTGAAAGCTATGTCTATTTCGCTATACATATATACAAAAAGAAGCAATTGTATAATTCGTTGGCTCCTCTTTAGATTTATATAATTTCGCTGGCAGGCCATTTGTATAAATTGTTGTTAGCCTCTCGTTTGTATAAATCGTTAACAAAAATATTTGTATATCAAAAATCGCTCTCTCTTTCGCTTTATACAAACATAAATTATACATTATATTTGTATAATCTGTGTTTGTATAAAACGAGAAAGAGAGAAAGGCAAAAGAGTACTGGGCAGGGGAATATATTTGTATTGTATAATTATAAGTGTATAAGACGAATATATATGTATTTGCATGTGTATATACAATTTTCTCTCGCTTTATACAAACAATAACACAATTTATACAATTCTGTTGTATAAAACGAGAAAGAGAAAGGCAAAAGAGAACTGGGCAGGGGAATATTTGTATTGTATAATTATAAGTGTATAAGACGAATATATATGTATTTGCATGTGTATATACAATTTTCTCTCGCTTTATACAAACAAAAACGCAATTTATACAATTCTGTTGTATAAAACGAGAAAGAGAGAAAGACAAAAGAGAACTGGGCAGGGGAATATTTGTATTGTATAATTATAAGTGTATAAGACGAATATATATGTATTTGCATGTGTATATACAATTTTCTCGCGCTTTATACAAACAGAAACGCAATTTATACAATTCTGTTGTATAAAACGAGAAAGAGAGAAAGACAAAAGAGAACTGGGCAGGGGAATATTTTTATTGTATAATTATAAGTGTATAGGACGAATATATATGTATTTGCATGTGTATATACAATTTTCTCTCGCTTGTAACTATAATTTTATGAGTTTACATAAGCATAGTCAATATTTCTTTTCAGTAGTGTTTATACACTTTTATATATTATGGTATAATATAATATGGATACACCATAACTAATGTATCTACTTTGTATAAAAGTATATTAAAATATATCTATCTCAAATAAACATGTATAGTAATGTATAAAAGTGTATAAATATCACTAGCTATACTGACGAACTTGATCTTCTATGATTTTCAGTTTCAATTCTTGTTTAAAATCAATTCAAATTTCCACCAAACAACGTTAAATTTGTAGACAACCTAATCTGATGAACATGATCTTCTACGATTTTCAGTTTCAACTTTGAAGATTTTAACGGTGGAGACAATCTAATTTCTTACCAAATGGGATAATGTTGGATAAGAAAGGAAGAATTGGGCTAAATGGTGATGCAATAACTTTCTAATGAACATAGGGTGTAACAATTTGTTTAAACATTAATTTACTTGAATTAATGATTAGCGGCTATTTATTGATTGAATCTAGAGATGCCAAACCTATTTTCAATTTTTCTCTAGTTAATTCTTATCCTTGATGGATTATTTTGTTCTTCTTCATCTAATATATATGAGGATGCTTAAATAATGACTTATTGATTTGATTGTATTTATGAATCTCACAAATAGTTTTACAAATAGTTAAACATTGACTTATTTGATTTGATGATGATTGAACATCAATATATTGATTTTATTAACATTTTGTCTTAAAGTAATATTGACTTCTTTCTCCCTTTCGCTTACATTTCAAAATACTAGAAAAAAAAATCAGACAATGAAGAACTAAAAAGAAGATGTTTGAAACATTAATGAGAAGTTTCAAACATCCTTAGAGATGTTTCAAATATTCTGATAAATTATTACACATCTTGTAGGATATTTGAAAATTCTTAGCAACAATTTTAATTCAAAATCAACTCCAAAAAATTTTAATTTTTTGTGTTCAAACTCCAAATACTATTCCCAACAATTTTAAATAATGCCCATTTTAGAATAACGTTAAAATCAGATTTTTAAAACTTGAAAGTTAGTTCAACAACAATGTAAGCTAAGAAGTACGGTTCGTATGTTGATGCACGACCCATAAATACACCTTCCAATGGACCTCTATTTTTTCTTTTCAATTCCCTGTATTACACTCCTATTTTTTAAATTTTATTTTTATTTTGGAAATCCTGCATCACAACACACGTTAAAAACCAAACAAGAAAATCAAAAAATTTGGATTGCCTCCAGTAGCACTTGATTTAATGTTACAGCACGATGTAGGTACTACGTCAATGTGGTAACTATAGGTTGCATTGTATGCTCTTGGCAGCTCCATTTGCTTACCAATATTGAAAGTCACGATCCAAGCCGACGTGGTTGAGACACATACTAATAGATAACCATATCTTATTACCTAAAACATGGTATAACTAAATCAATAATCATATTTAAAAAGCATTAAGGCAAGAATTAAGAGTTAAACATAATAATAAGAAGTGCGGAAAGTCTAAATTATTACATCCCCGAAATTCGAAAGTCTTTGTACATGAGTCTAACTCAAATGTCTAAGAATGGTCATGAAACTAGCTAGATAAATAAATAAACAATGTCTGTAGAGAGTAGACATTGATCATTTGAGCTTGATTGGGAGTAGCTCACCCTTAGATCTAGAGTATTGTAGCTGCAATAAATGTGAGGTCATGTGGACGATTCTAGATCACAATCTGTACTAAAAATTGTAGAAATAGTATCAGTACAAACACTAGACTAGTCGGCACCACAAGCCGACTAAGATTTGTAAAAATGTATATAAGGGTAAGTCATAAAATATGTAGACACATAGTCAATAAAATCGAACGATCAAGAAGTCAACACCAACCATATTGATAGACTCATTCCGAACATATCAAGGTCAATTGTTGGAAAAATAAGTCCCCGCAATAAATATAATGAACACCACAAAAACTCTACACAATATAAGCAAATCACATAAAATCATTGAAAACTTATCCATACCGATCTATCAGTATCGGCGTGACACCTGATTTATCACTCATACTACTGATCCAACACATATAACCACTCGTCCATAATCTCACACCAAACTCGAGTCACTCATCATCAAAATAGAATATGTATTCTTATTCTCAACATATCTCAGTATGCTCTCAGCTCAGTTATCTCTCATAACAACACAACACACAATATAAATCACAAATGCACATCATAAATATAAGTCATAAAAGACAGTTTTATAAAATCCACAATTTATTTATACAATCATTATCATCCCAATAAGACTCACATCACATAAGAAGAACTAATCAAAGTCTAACTCCAGGTAAATTATATGCTACCTCAACCAAAGAACTTGAATCAAACAAGCTCATGTGATCCTTCCTTTTTCTTAAAGTCTCTGGATGCTCCAAGTCTAGAACATATAAATATAAGAATATTCAATCATCTTCTCTTCAAACAATAGTCTTGGACATTTTAACCCACTTAATTTTTATCCATTATCAAGGTCTAATTAATTCGTGGAGTTTCTACACATTCACCCCTTGGGAGCAGTTTGTATGCCCAATGAATCTTAAAGTTTTCAGATAACTCTAGTTAAAGGGAATAACCATGAACCATCAATCAAGAATCATCAATGGATTAAAAATACAATAGTAAAATTTAACAATAAGAAGTTTGTATTAAAAAAAAACTTAAATTCATAGACTTTGAAGGAAAAACCCTAACTTTGATCTTACTAACTCAACTAAGATTCTGCCGCCCTTGACTGACTTTCTATTTGATTGTACCGAAAAGTCAATGAATTAAGATTGTTTTATTGTTTCTTTTCAAAACTAATAGAGGCCCTCGATTCAAATTTGAGATGACTCAGTTAAAATATCACTCTTTTGAAAAATTCTATTGTTTCTCTTTGAAAATTGAAGCATTATCCAAGTTGCCTAAATCATAAACAACATAATATCACTCAAAGAGTTAGAAGATAATATTAGCAAAATGGCTTTATTACTAATCGAATTGGAAAAAGTTGATCAATAATATGATATGTTAAACAAGATGAAAGAGAAGGAACTTTAGTTATGCTTTAATTTATCAAACAAGACCTTATGGAGTGTTGAATAATTAATTTTTTCCCTTTTTTTTTTTCACTATGTAAAGTAAGAATAATTATTCTTATCTTACCTTTTAATTTTATTTTTATCTAACCTTATTAAGTTTGATTTTTGCAGATGAATTTGATAGCCAAGCTAGATAACCCTTATATTATTGAGTACAAGGATGCATGGGTAGAGAAGGTGTATATATTTATACAATTAACAAAATTTTCTATAAGGACTTAATATTCTTTTATTTAGTACACATATTCATGTAGAATGCTAAAAAATATTTATGTGATGTTATACATAAATTAGGACTCCTTTGTCTGCATTGTTACAAGCTATTGTGAATGTGGAGACATGTAAGTTTCCTAAACATGCCTAAATTAGCACTAATTTATCTTAATCAATAATAATGATGTATTTCTTGATAGATTTTGAACTTGTTTTCAGGGCTAATATGATTAGAAAAGCCAGAGGAACATTTTTCCCTGAAGACGTAAGAAAAATAAGAATAAATTTCCAACAAAACACAAAACGGATTTTGATTCAGTTGTTACTGGCCCTCGATTACCTTCACTCGAATCGTGTTCTTCACAGAGATCTTAAAGTATGACCTTTTTTATAAAAAAATTGTAGTGTTTTGGAGTAATTCATACTAATAGTTTTCATTTGCTTTGCCCCAGTGCTCTAACATTTTCCTTACCAAAGTTGACGAAGTCAGACTTGGTAAGAAGAGTAAATAGTCCATATAGTAAGTGTTTATTTGCTGCAAATTGTGTGTTGCATATGATACTTGTTATGTCTATAGGTGACTTTGGATTAGCCAAACTGTTGAATAAAGATGATCTCGCCTCTTCGGTAATAAACCCTCCCTCATTGCATTGCAATGTTCTTGTTCATTTTATGCATCTCAATCATTTCTTTCCAAATTGGACGTCTCAAAATATAATGTCACATAAATTGAAGCAGAGGAAGTAGATAAGACAACTCTTATTTAGTTGTTCAATGTGATGTAGATTGTGGGTACTCCAACATATATGTGTCCTGAGCTTCTAGCAGATATACCTTATGGATATAAATCAGACATATGGTCTCTAGGTAAATCATCATCTTCAACTTATAAAAAGTGCAATTTTTGAATTCTCAATTGCGCGCTCAACATTGATTATAATGGTTTGCTTCTCAGGTTGTTGTATGTTTGAAATTTCTGCTCATCAAGCTGCATTTTGTGCTACGGTTAGTCATTAAACTTTACGGACTATAACAACTATAATGTGTTACATTTTGTGACCATATGTGAAATTAACTCGAAAAACAGGATATGGCTGGGCTAATCAACAAAATAAACAGATCTACTATATCTCCACTTCCAACCATATATTCTTCTACATGGTAAGACGATACATCAATTTCTCCTTTCCACAGTACGTTATTGTGACTGTTTCATCAATTTCTTATATGGATTTGTTCGTTCCAGGAAACGACTGATTAAAAACATGCTAAGAAAAAGCCCAGAACATAGACCTACGGTACGTGTTACTACTTACATTTTGTTGTATGTATGTTGCATACATATTTACTGATTCATTACTTCTTGTGTCTGAATATATATTAGGCTGCAGAGTTGTTAAGGCATCCACATTTACAACCATATCTTGCTAAATATCAGAACTTGTCACCAGCATTTGTTCAAGTATGTTCTAAGAAGGAATCAAAACAGAATATTCCTGATCAAACTCGCGAGAATTCAACTTCCAACGATATTAGACAAGCAAAACAACACGAGAACGTTGTGCAATTGATATAGTTGTTCATGAATTCAAAGGTAATACGTGTAAGATTGAAAAAATTAACGTTCAGACAAAGAAAAATGGAAATTTGGACATATCCGTCAAGAAAAGTGAAAGCACAAATTCCATAAGCTCTACAAGAAGTACCTTAACTGATAATACAATTGAAGGTACAATTCAGAAGATTGAAAGGCCAAGTAAGGACAAGAAAGGTACAAAATGCTTTTTTAAGAAATCAGGAATACCAAAACCATATGTTGAAGTTACTTCAAATGCCAATAAAGTTAGAGCAAAAGCCATTAATCATCTAAGTACTAATCAACATACAGAAAAACGTGATGATCACAAACGAGCATCGAGTGATACTTCAGTAATAAGCAATGGAAGGGAAGAAGCATTAGAGTCATTACTTGAACTTTGTGCAGAGTTACTTAAGCATAAAAAGCTAGAGGAATTAGCTGGTGTGCTAAAACCATTTGGTGAAGAAGTTGTTTCTTCTAGAGAAACAGCAATATGGTTGACAAAAGGATTAATGAATCTTCAAAATCCAAAGTGAAGAAGCTTAGAGTGCCTCCTAGGTTGTTAAGATTTTTTTTGTAATATAATAGCATTGGTTTTTTTTATTATTTAATCTTGTATGCATGAAGATAATGAACATTTTATTACTTTTCAATCTATTTCATTTTCTAAGAACAATATTTTTTCAGTGAACATAAAAAAAGAAAAAAAAAAAAAGAACGACTGACACAAAAAATAAGATATATAACATACCAAAAAGTACTATATAATATATTACATCAATTTGTAGAAAATAATAATACTTCTGTTGTTTTTATACGAACCAAAAAGTACTCTATAATATACCACATCAATTTATAGAAAAAATAATAATCCTTCTGTGTTTTTTATAGGAAGATGTTTGGGTAATATGGAGTTTAAGAAAGAAAGATAGACTTTTGGTTAATTGATTATACAATACAATATATAACATTGTAATGACCAATTTTTCATTCCTAAAAAGTAGCAATCAAGACAAGAAAATTAGTGACAAGTAATAGTGTAATACTATTTAATTTCAATGGTTTATGCGGGGTTACAATTCTTATAAAATTTAATATAAAAATATGTAAACCTCTTATTGTTTTTTCCACGACCATCAACTCAAAAGATTTGCTTTGTTCTTAAATCGATAAAGTACTTGTTGGAATTTTACCACAAACACGGAGCCGAGCTTTGATCACAATCCTGGAGGCACAAAAAATTGTAGCTTGTCACGTGAAGACGAAGACTTCTTTGTATACGGAAGACTTGTGGATCACCACTGAAGAGGAGAGTTTTCCTATTATTTATCCTTTTCTTTTTTTGGTTGTATGGAGACCTCTTTATATAGGCACGAGTTAAGGCTTGAGGTATTTTGGTATCCAAGTAATTCTAGTGGATCTTGGGTTTGAAGAGCATGGGTTGGGCTCGTCTTGTTAACTTAACAGACTGACCCAAATGTAATTGGACTTCAATTAAGTCATATATTTTTTTATTAATAACTAATCTAACTTATTAACCAATAACTTGACTTGATGGACATATTGGGAATTTAAGATTTAATTCAAAATTTAATATGAATTTATTTAATAAAATTTCAATGTTTACACATGCCCAAAAATTCTTCAAATTAAAAATCGGTTCGATTTAATTTTTTTTCCAACTTAATCGGAATAGTGCGCGCATACCCCTAATAAAGGCCAAGGCAATGTGATTCCAGAAGTTATTATAATTTATTTCTATTTATTTTTATTATGTTGACACAAAAACTATTACATAATGAAATTCATACAATGAAAAAAAAAGTAAAAGATTCATAATGACGTTAAACGTCATAATTAGTAAGAATATCAACACACTCCTTATATTTTATATTAGTTGAATTTGTGAGGCAGTGCACACTTATTAAGACATCTTAAGAACATAATTTAAACCGTATTTTCCACTATTGTCCTTTGTGAAATCAATAATGTAACTTTGTAAGTTGATAAGGTTCAAAGGGACACTTGAAAGAAATAAGATTAATTATGTGGAATTATCAAAATCAAATCAAATTTATGAACAACAAAGGACTCTATACCTTCACCTCTCAATTGAATCCGACCAAATAACAATAACCCGAACTCAATCAAAAATGAGAAAACCAATTGAATCCACTAAGAGGGTAACTCGATGATTGATTAAACTAGAAGAAGTTAACACAAGCAATATCGGGAATCCACCTTAATCACTCAACTACAATTACCAACTACGAACTACACTAATGCTAGGTTTCACCTAGAAACTACAAACTTCAAAGCTCTCAAATATTCAATTCATCATAATCTTCATAATCTAACTTCTAAAATGAAAAAGACTACTATTTATACTAAGAAAATAAACAAGACACTTTCATTATAATTTTACCCTTATACTACCTAAATCCATCATCAATCTAACAATAACTAGCCACATGTTCAACAACCCAGACTTCATATGCGAAGGCCTATACATGCAATCTCCAACAATCCATAAGATATAATGTAAGTGAAGACAAGCCTAAATACTCAGTTAAAAAGGTCTAGCTTATCTGGGCACCAAACAACTGCTAATGAATTTCGGACAAAAGCTTTTGTCTTGGTGAGAGCAAATCGTGATGAAAGAGGATCACAATTCATTGGATTTTTACCTTCTTTGCGCTGAAATCTCTTCACTTCATTGCTCCCAGGATACTAGTGTCTTGGGGGAATTTTTGGGGTAGCCCCCATCTGTTTTTCATCTAGAAAGTGGAGAAAAAAAAAAAAGACATCGTATTTAGTTAATTAGGTTCTCATTCCATCAACTTGATATAGAGTCCATGAAGGCGCTATATCATTCAATGATTTTTATTCTTCAACTTGTGATCAGATTTTCTCTCTCTATCAACTAATTTATTAGGGTCAGAAAGATACCCAAATTTTAATCATACTCCGATGAACTTGGATGTCCGAAGGTGTAACAACCTGATTCCATCGTTATGGAAAAGCCAATGGGGAAAATTTTTGGGCCGAAAAACTTTTTGGTAGTAACTTGAAATTTCCCAACCTAGTCCAGATTTGGACGAAATCGGAGCCAGTGAGGTCTAGGGAAATTTGGTAACAAATGGAAGATCTAATTATGATTTTGATCACATGAGTAGATAGCTAAGACGTTAAGGAACCCGTATGACTTTACGGAATCGAATTCGAACGAGTAGAACTCCCGAAATTGATCTTAGCGTGAACGGGTATTTTTTTAGTGTCATGAGTTGAAAGTGTGTTGTAAATTGGGATTTTGAAACACTTAATTAGCTATTTGTTTCCGTGAAAGCCGCTAGGAAGGGATTATTCCCGCCAGGGCGGAGCCGCTGTAGCAGGGTGAGTACCGATGTAACGGGGTCAGACACGACTTAAGTCGGAAACAAACCCCAAAAATGTTTTATTCTGCACTTTTCGACTTTGAGAGCTAGGAGACGATCCCAGGTGCTTTCTTGGCACCATTCTTAAGGCTAAAGGTAAGATTTTAGCTCCCTGAACCCATTTTCGATCCGTAGAATGTAATCTAGTGGGTAATTATCGATGGGGGAGGGTTTTGATCTGGGAATCATGGTGGAAAAAGCCCTAATTTGGATATTGGGATCATGGGTTTGATCTAGGGTTGATAGGATTGTTGGTAAGTCGGGTAATTAGTTATTGTTTATTGATTCCAGTGTTATATTAATTGTTTATAGACCATGAACAAGCGGAACGAATCCGAAAAGGGAAGAATCAAGTTTCTTAGGGCATTCAACCTTGTTTCGAGGTAGGTGATAGTTGTGATTCCATGTGGTGTGACGTATGCTTGTTCTTGCTTCATTATAATACATGTATGTATGAGAATGTTGCATTATTGATCACACTAATTGTAAATGAGGATAGATGAATGATGAATGCCATGAACCATGATTTGATTGTATGATTAGGAGAGTGTACTTTGTGATTGCGATTGTGGCTTGTTGAATGGATCGGGTGTTGTGTTCCATCACACTAACTTGGATTGGTTGCCATGTTTCGACATAAATATGGGATCGGTTGCCACATTCTGGCATAAACATTGGATTGGGTACCACATACCAGTATGCTAACAATTTGGGTGTAGGTTCCATGAGAGGACCATTGAATTGGGTTTTGTGAGAGGACCATTGAATTGTGTTGTGTATCTACTTGTGATGATTACGTTCATATCTAATAATAATTGAAAGATTGTATGTTGCTCTAAAATGATAACCAATGTGTATTATTGAGAACGTGGAATGTTACATTGATCCTGAAAAGATGACTAATATTGTATATGTTCGGTATATGCTTGTTTTATAATGTTGTGGTTACTTGCATGTGTTTCACTTATTGGGATAGCCGCGTGATCCTATCAGTACACTGTGGTTGTGTACTGATACTGGACTTGCTTTTTCTTTGTTGAGTACAGGGCATCTTCCGGCGGCTTGATGAGTCCACAAATTGGACTCATTTAGGGCTATATTTTAATAGAAATTGTGTCCTCAAATGTTTATTTTATCTCAATATCTGATGAAAACCCTTTAAGTCTCAGGTATTTGAAGGTTGAAGGAGAGCATGGACACTGCTTCTCAAAAAGGAATGAAAAGGCTGAAAAGAACGAAGAAAATGAAGGCATGAGGATCACCGAGTCCACTTGGCGAGTCGCCGAAGGGTCTCACTTCACCTTTTGTTCCAGTGTGTTGAGCCCTGAAAGAAAGGATCAAGTCGACGGAAAAATGGAGCAATCGACGCATCGCTGAGATGTTCCGCGAGGCAGTACTATGTCGCCCAATGACCCAGAGCACGACGATACTGAAGGATGGTGCAAGACGGCGATGAACTACATCAAGGGGTGAATCGCCGAGTTAATCGGCGATTTCGACTAATGTCGCCGAATGGTCCGCTACAACACATATTTTCTTTAAAACTATAAATACTCGTAGAGAGTTTTAGCTTAGTATCAGAGATTTTTGGTGTGAAACAATTAATATAATTTTAGTACTTTTTTATTTTGCTCTGAGTTTAAGAGGGTTTGGAAAACTTGAAGAAGAAGAGGGTTTCAT